CCCCCCTGTGGACAGGAAGGACAAGGGAGGGATCCCTCCAAGGGGGGGTGATGGGGGAGGGTGGTCCCGGGTAAGCGGTAAAATGGCCCCCCCCCTGGGGTTCAAGCGGGTTCCCGCGGGCCGCCAGTGGGGGTCCCCGGGGAAGTCCCGCCCCTAGGGTCGGCGGCACAAGCCGTAGGGCCTCCACACAGTAAGAACTGCCCCTGGCGTGCCTGGAAGGGGGTGCGGCATTTCTCGAGACAGCCTGGGGGGCGTCTCAAGAGGTGCGTGGATGAGGTTGGCTTCATTTGCATTTGTGACGTCTCGACGGTCACGCTTGGTAGAGGAGGGGGGTGGGGCATGACTAGCTTGGGCCGCCCACCGCAAAGCTCTCACGTAGTCACTTTGGCAGCTCTAGGAGAAGGCATGGCCGTGATGAAGTCGGCTCACGCACCACAATAGTAATTACGCGATCAAGTTGGGTCGCCGCGAACATCGTGCATCTGTGGCAATGATGGGTCGCCTGCGAGTTGGGAATTTACATGGCGAGTTTTGGTCCTCCGCCTTTCATCCCCCCGTCCCCCCGTCTCGTCCATTCTGCCCGTCCTCCTCCTCCTCCGCCTCCTCCTCCTTCTCCTTCTCTTTCTCTTTCTCTTTCTCATTCTCTTTCTCATTCTCTTTCTCTTTCTCCTTCTTCTCCTCCTCCTCCTCTTCCTTCTCCTCTCCCCACCTTCCCGCCCCTCTTCCAACCAAATCTAATTTGTTTTTGTGTTTGGGAGCGCCCCGGCATGTGCGTCGGGTCGCGTGGAGGCCAGGGGCCAATTTTAACTGCGCCTCTGCTGCCTTCCGAGTGAAAAGCGGGGCCCTGATGGGCGCGGAAACAGCGACCTCGGCGTTCAGCCGGGCGAGCGAGCCCTCTGTGCTTGCTGCGTTCGGGGCGGCTGGGGCGGGCCCAGCAGGGGCGCCACTCTGGATGCTCTGCTGGGCCGCCTTGTCGCTGGGAGTGCCTGGGAGTGTGCTTCTGGCACCCTGCGCCCCGCGGGTCGCCCAGGTGCCTGCGGGCGCGGTCTCCGGCCAGAGCCCCTCGGGGGGACCTCGCTGCGCACGCAGCTGGGCGCTGGCGCTCGGTGCGGCCGCCCCGCACTCGAACGTTTGGATGCGCTGGGGTGCGCACGGCATGAGGAAAACAGTGAATGGTGGCAATTGGCGCCTTAAAGTCTTGAGTGGTGGCAATTGGCGCCTGAAGGTCTTGAAGGTCTGAGTTGTGGAGGTACGTTGGCACCCCTTCCTACGGCCGTCTTCGTTGGCCGAGGGAACGTAGGGAGAGCCTCTGCCCGTCCACCTTGCCCACTCCGTCGGCAAGCGCGTGGATTTTCCGCTGCGGCGCCGTGCGCGGGCGGCACGGGCGCCCCGGCCGCGAGGGGCGACGCGCGGCGTGCGCGCCCGTGGAAGCGCAGTTTTTTGTTTCTTGTTTTTTTGTTCGAGCTGTGTTCCGCGCCATGAAGGCAGCGGAAGAGTACTGCAACCCTCCTCGAAACCAAACGTAAGTTTTCCTTATTGGCCGACGCGCGACACGCGGCCCACGGGGACAGATGTGTGTTTGCAATCGTCATTTTCGGCGCGAGCGTTAAATTTTTGGGCCCTTGGTGCGCCGCCACGTCGCTGGAAAAACATGCGCTGGATTCGAGGAGGGACGTGTGGGGGAAGAGAAGGAATGCGAGGGGGGCGTGGGGTGGCACCAGGACGGTTTTTTCCTTCGAGGAGCGCGAGAGCGCGGAGAGGGGTGTAGCCGCCCGGACGCCAGCAGCTGTGCAAGCTTGGAGCAAGGCCAGGCCGTGGCCGAGGGCGACCCTGGCGAACGGCACTGGCTGGACCCCTCTTCGGAAGGGGAGCTGGACCCGAACACCTCGAAGGCCTGCACAACACAGCGACGAGGCGGCGGCACGCAGTCGCCAGCGAGAGGCCGGGCCCGCGGAGACCCAACGGGAAGGGGCGGCGGCGCGAGCGATCCCGCGCGCCGCCGCCAACTCGCCGAGGGGGGCCAGGCGCCGCCTGGGCCGCGAGGCGGAGCACGGGCGCGGAAGGCTGGCGCTGGCGCTCGCAGGCTGCCTGCGCCATCCCCACGGCCCGGGGCGCTCGCGGCCGAGGGCCTGCTTCTGCTTCGCCACAGGCGCGTCCACCGAAGCAGTCTCCGCGGCATTGGGTGCGTCGGCGTCAGCGTCGGCGTCGGCGTCGTCGGCGTCGTGGGCGTCGTCGGCGTCGTCGGCGTCGGCGTCGTCGTCGTCGTCGTGGTCGTCGGCAGCGGCGTCGCCGTGAACTGCCTGTTCTTCCCCAGGCGGTTATCCTGGCTCTGCGGGGCCGCCCTGGATGGCGTCCGCGTGCGGTGCACGAAATGAGCCGCCGTCGGGTGCTCCGCGTTGCGCTGGGCTACCAAGCCCCATGTTCCGCCTCCTCCGCCTAACGCTGTGCGTCCGAGTGCCCCAAGGGCGCCTTTTCCACCTCGTGACCCCCCGGGGCGACTTCCAGCCACGGCGGCCTCTACGAGCGAGCGTGCCGCATCGAACCGTCCGCGCGTCGGGCGATTCGTCGGCTGCGTCATCGTCTGCGGGCCTAGAGAAGTTGAAACCCTCGCCTGGGCTTCGCATGGCGTCATTGCGCTGCGCCATCGAGGTTGCGCGCGCGGCCAAGGCGAGGGGGAGAAGGCGCCGCTGTACGACATCTGGGTACGGCTGGCAGATGGAGTCGAGAAAGACCTGCGACCGCTGGGCGGCGTGCGTCGAAAATTCGGGGCCGCCCTGTGTCGGGGCCGATTGTAGCCAAGGTGGGCGGCACGAAACCGAGACGGCCCTGGATGCCAATGTCGGCGCGGATGTTCTCTGCGTCCGCTAGCGGCGCGGGATCTGGCTCGCGCGGCATCGACTGAGCCGAGCCTGGGCATCCGGGAAAGAAACCGCGTGGTCCATGTTGCGTCCTGGAAGATTTACTGCTAACGCAGACGCGCGTTCAGCAGCGGCTGATGTCAGCGGCTGACGTGCGGAGGCGCTCTGGGCGAAGGGTTCCCTGACTTCGCACCACACGTTCGCAATGGCCTCCAAGTCGGGGTAGTGCGAGGACATTTCTGCGGTCTGCTGCAAGCCGCCGCGCGTTGCCTCTGCCTCCCACCCTCAGTGGCTGAGAGCCCAAGCGCAATATATTTCAATCGTATGTTCGCCAGCTGTTACTCGCTGTCTGATTCCGTACGGCCACAAAGCCACATTGATCCGAACGGCGCGCAACGCGTCCACCAATGTGTCGCAAACATTGTCCAAGTACAGTGGCAGCCTGGCTAATTGTGTGCTTGGCGAGATGCACTCTTCCTCAGCAATGGCCTCGCTCATGGCTTCCGGAAGATGAAGCGTGCGCGAGTAGGCCGTTTGGTGATGTTGCAATGAATGGGCGAGCGCGCGTGAGGCTCCGCAGAGCTGACACATGCCAGTCGCCGCACTCCCATGACACCCTATACGATATCTACATGCTGCCGATTCTCCCTCGCGGCACGGGCTTCATCACGTGCGTGCTCTGCCAAGCCGCTGACATGCTGTGCTATGCGTTGGCAAGGCCATGGTGTGCATTATGCTGTGCTACGCCGTGCAGCGCTTGCGTACATTGTGCTCGTGTTGGCTATTATATGCAAATGCTTCGCGTCGCTATTGCAAGAAATGGTTCGCGATTGTATTTCATCACGTGGTGGTGTAATGAACAATGGCCCGTTACCTAGCTGTTTGCGGCCCATCTTGCCACCGTACGGGGGTTGTGAATGCAGGGCACCTTTACAACATGCTTGAGGACACGGCAGGTGCCCAAGCTGTGAACCTCTTTAGGGGTCTATTCAGCCCATTTTGGGGGCGTCTTTGAGGCGTCTTCGGGGCCTTTCCTGAACTTACTTCGGCCTGTCCGAATCCCCAATCGTATGCTTCGGGGTGCGATTGGGTTGCTGATGCGAATGCTCATGAACACTACCATGATATGCTATGGTAAGTCATGCTGCGCTGTGTACGGTGCGCGTTCCTTTGCCGCGCCATGGCAACATTGTGTAATCAATGCTGTAAGTTTCGTTGCTAGTGTTAATGGCACGATATGGCTTACAAAGTTAAACTGGCGCGATGCTCTGCTCAGGACCGAAGAATTGTGTCAGGATTGGATTCGTTAGTTTTGATAAACTGCACTATCACATGTCTACGCTCATACGTATGTGCATGTTTCGGGCTATGCAGCAGCGTGGTATGGTACACGCATGACTGGGCCGTTCTAGCATACTTCCCTGCAAGCAGATTCACGGTGTGGCAATGCATACCGTTGCATGGTATACGCTGCGGTCCATCTCAAAAGGATCTGTTGATGACAAGCTGTGCCATGCGATCTTATGCTGGGCGCTGTGCCGCGCAAATTGTTCCACGGGCGCTGTGCCGCGCAAACTCCTTGCGGGCTGTCCTTTACGCACCGCGCAAGCTGTGCCGCGGGCGCTGTGCCGCGGGCGCTGTGGGCGGCTGCTGTGTTGCGTCTTGCATGGACGCTGTGGCGCGCAAGCTCCCGAGCTCCGCCACCCAGAACTGGAGGCCCGCCCCCCCTCCACCGTCCTCTCCCTCCTGCTTCGTGACCTGTACACCCGCCCCCTCGTAACCTCCCGCCCTCCGAAAGCGGGGTGCTGTGGAATGTCGGGGCTTATGGGACGCCCGAGTGATCCGGGATAACTGCGGTCTGGGGTAACTCCGATTTGGGCCCCCGAGGCACGAACCCGTAGTTACCCCTGACCGCCCCCATCCCCGATGATTCGTGAGGCTTAGACGCCCAAATCATCTGGGATAATTGCGGTCTGAGGAAACTCCAGTTTGGAGCCCCGATGCGCGAATCTGTAGCTAGCCCTGACTACCCCCAGCCCTGATGACTCGGGGCTCCGAGCTTACTCCCCCCTTTGTGCGCCGACACGCGACGACAACTACGACAAACGGGACCGCGAAAACAAGGAGCCACGCCCCAGGCGCCTCCTCCGGCGCCGCAGCCATCGGCACTGCCTCCGCGCCACCTGGCCGACCAGCCGACGGTAGGAGCACGGCGGGAGCGCCCAGGGCCGCCAAAGAGAGAGAGAGAGAGAGAGAGAGAGAAATCTGGGCCAGGCCAGGCTGCGTCTGGGACCTGGCACTGGGATGGGCAGCAGGGATGCAGTCGAGAAGGCCTGACTGCGTCGAGGCGCCGGTCTTCCTGTCCGCGGCAAAGGGCCAAGGGCACGGCGGTGCGGTGCGCTTGGGGAAGGCAAGCCCGGCGCCGGGCGCGCTGAAGACCTGGATGCGTCCAGGGCTCGTGCTCCTCCTCGCCCTCCCGTGTCGAGGCGGGGGAGCGGGTGCTCAAAGGGGGCGCGCTCCCGAGGAGCCTCTCGGGACCGACGTGCGCCGCGACGCTGCGGCACCAGACCCCTGTGATGGGAGTGGAGCTGCCCCCCAGCGGTTCCCGAGCGGGAGCTGCCGCCCGAGGGGCCCCGAGGCCGCATCCGACGCCTATCTCCTCCTCCTCCTCCTCCTCCTCCTCCTCCTCCTCCTCCTCCTCCTCCTCCTCCTCCCTGCAGTGGTGCCGCCCTGTGCGGTGCGAGTCCTCCTTCCGAGGAGGGCTTTCGCAGAAAATCTCCTGTCCCTCTCCGTGTCTCCCCCTCCCGCTCTTGCGGCATGACGCCGTGGCAAATGGCAGCTGGAGACATCAGTCGAACCTTGAGGCGATATTCTCTTCCCGCATAGATCCGCGACGGTGCCGGGGTCCGAAACAAGGCGCCAATGCCAGTCGCCACCTTTCCCACGATGCCTGGAATCCTGGGCTCCCCCCACCTCCTCCCAACGAGCCTCAACTCGAACGAAAACCCGTACTCCTTCCAAGCACCACTGAGGATCCGCTCTTCGGGCCGCGTCCACCCGCGGCGACGAGGGCCTCCGATAACCTCCGATATCTTTCCCGTCCAGGCCCAGAGCCCGCGAAGCCTCCAAATCCTCCCTTCCAATAATGATCGGAACCTCCGAACATTCTCCGCAAGATGAAGGCAGAGATAACTCGACGATATCTGGGAATCGGTGAACTTGGGTGATGTATCGGGCGTCATGGCCGATCCAGAACGCTCGGGGGTTGCCAAACATGTTCCTGGCCTGAGGTGTCCCCAGCTGCATGTGCCGTTTTGGAGCCCCTGAGGCCCTCTGGGGCCCCTGGGCCCCTTTGGGGCCCTCTGAGACTTGTCAGGGGTGCTCTCGATGCCGTGGGGGCCTCCCGTGAAATCAATAGAAACAATAATTCAAACTGCCGTCTATAGTCTATAGTGAGTGCAGTGCATCTCGGGGGCACCTGGCCCCTTCGTCAGGCGTGGGCTCAAATTGTCTCAGCCCCAAAGCTCGTGGACACCTTGGGCCCAAGGCACCTTTGGCATCGCCCGAGATCTCCCAGGTCGCCAGGACGACGCCGCTCCGGACGCTGTCCCCCATCTGGCGCCGCAGTATTTGGCCGACCCTGCAAACCCTGGGTCAAAAACATCTCGACATCTGACTACTGCTTCATTTTTTGCGCCCACTGCTCCCTCTTGCCGCTGGCAGCTCAGTGGCGCGCCACATGCGAAAACCTCTGCCGCCACGGCTGTCTCTGCGCGGTCTACCGTCTTGCCACACCCCTGAGACGTGCAGGCAGACGGGCGATGCGGCTCGCGGGCGCTCGGGCTGTCGAGAGCTGCGGAACGTCCCGCCCGCGCCCCGCCCACCTCTGTGAGGGCGGCCCCGAGTGGCCGCTTGGGCGCCTTTGGAGCCCCGCCGCCACGCGGCAGCATGGGCTGGCACCCACCCCCGAGGCACGGCACGAGCGGGAAAGAGGGCACGGGAGGACGACGAAGGGAAAGCACCCTTGCCAAGGCCCTTGAAAACGGGGCGTTAGCACACGGGCCGGTAGCTAAGGGTGCGTTTTCGATGGTATTTTCAAGAAATTGCCTCACCGCGCACAAGTGCGCGGTAAACCCCTCCGTCCAGAGTTATGATGATGTGCCGACATTTTTGTCGTCCCGATTTTTCACGCACTAGTGCGAGGTAAACGCACTGTCACCCCGTTCCCGCTTGAAGAGGCACCTTTGCTACCACCCCGTTTACTAACGCCCCGTTTGCAAGCGCTTGGCCTTGGTCCCGTCGCCTTCTGTGGCATGAAGGAAGCAGGTCCTGAGGACATCGGCTCCTGGACCTGGAGGCCAGAGGGCCCTAATGCAGCCCAAGAGTTGCCCAAGATAGACCAAGGGATAACTCGAACTGACACGTCGAGCCCTCCGCTCCAACAAGGCCCCCGAGACCGCCAACAGGCGCCAAGAAGGCCCGACACGGCCCGCAAGAGGCCCCAAAGAGGCCCTCACAAGACTATAATAGGTTCCCAAGAGGCCCGCAAGGCCTTAGCCCGTGCACTTCTTCATCGTCCAGCACGTTGTCGTCGTCGTCGTCGTCATCGTCGTCGTCATCATAACCACTGCCGTCGTCATCTAGGCGGCACCGCATACGCGCTGCAACTTTCGCCAATCTGCCTCCCGCCAGAATTGCATTCCTCATTTTCCCCCTCCTCTCGGTTTCTGCTCCTCCTCAGGCTGCACCCTCCCCCAAGCGGACGGCTCAGGAAAGGACCCCGCAACGCCCACCTTCGGCTCGCCCACGACCTATGCCTCCAACTAGCCCGCCGTCGGATCCACACAAAATCCAGACACTCCCAACCTGAAGCCCCGCAAGGCCCCACCCGTGGAAATTTCCATCGTCCAGAACTTAGTCGTTGTCCTCACCATCAAGACCATCTTCCGCTGGGGTCGGCGGAATGTCGTAAGCTTCTTGAACAAATCACAGTTTTTTTTGCCTTCTCGCCTTTTCGCTTTCGACGTCCCTCCGAGGCCTCAAGATGGCTCCAAGAGGGCTCAAGCGAGACCCACGAGTGGCACACGAAGGCCCCAAGGCGGCCACAAGAGTGCCCCAAGGGGGCCCAAATGCGCGACTGTAGGGGCTCTTAGAGGGCCGATGCTAATTGAAGCTTCCCTTTCTTTGAGCGATGTCCTCCAAGATGGCCCCACGAGGGCCCCCGAGGCTCCGGAGAGTGCCCCACGAGGGCCCCAAGAGGCGCCCCCAGGAGGCTCCCAAGGGGCCCTCAAGAGACCCCCCAGACGCCGCAAGAGGCTCCCCCGAGGCACCCAGGACCGCCAAGAGGCCCCCCAAGATGCCCCACACGAGGACTCCAATCAGCTCTCGAGAGACATCCGAAGAGACTCCGAGAGGCATCCAAAAGGCCTCTGGCCTTTTCGCTCTCCCATTCCTCCTCCTCGCTCCTCCTCCTCGTCTCGTCGTTCTCCTCGTCCTCCTCTTCTTTCTCCTCCGCCTCCTCCTCCTCACTCCTTCCTGCTCCCCCTCCTCCTCCTCCTCCTCCTCCTCCTCCTCCTCCTCCTCCTCCTCCTCCTCTTCCTCCTCCTCCTCCTCCATCTTCCCCCTCTTGGGGTATGACGGCTGCCCCAGCCCTTTGTTCCACTGCATGCTCCTCCACATCCCTGATCAAAGCAACTCGCCTGGGCATGGGCTGGCGGGGTTCTGCGAAATGTCTAATATGTACTTCATACATGCCTACCGTGTTGGAGGCGAATCGAGTCACCCAAAATCCATACAGAATCGGACCGATCGCACCGGAACGGGCTTTGCCGTTGCCCGAGACACCCCACTCTACAGATCGGCAGGGCCGCGCGGTGCGGCCTCGTCGGAAGGCCACCAGGCGCTCGGCCATCTCGGCCTTCTCGAAGCAATCGGAGGTTCTGACGCCCGCGTCCTGCGGCGCGCGCGCGGTCCCGTGGGCCCGAGGCGCCAGAGAGTCCAGTATGGCGCCAGGAGAGCCCACGAGTCCAGGATGGCCTCGACGATGGCGCATGATAGGGCGATATTGCCCAATGTAGCTTTCCAAATGCCCCCAATAGGCCCCAAGACCGCCCCACGATGGGTCCAAGGGGGGGGGACGGATCGGGATGGATGGAGGTTCTTTGAGGGCAGTAGGGAGATCTGGGAGTAAGGGAGAGATCGGGAGAAGGGGAACACAGGATGGAAGACGAGGACGGAGGAGGATGGGGTAGGATGGGGTAGGAGGAGGAGGAGGAGGAGGAGGAGGAGGAGGAGGAGGAGGAGGAGAGGAGGAGGAGGAGGAGGAGGCGCACGAGGAGGGTCGATGGGGGACGAGGGCAGAGGGAATATCGCGAGGTCCTCGACGGTCCTCGGCAAGCTTGGGCGTTTTCGGAAACTTTCCGTTGGGCGGAGGTCTTCTGCCGTGCTTTGCTGGTATTGCTCTTACATGTTGATATTCTGGTATTTGGAGGTTTCCGAAGGATGGCCGAGGAGGACGATGAGGGTCGAGGAGGGGGAGGGGGAGGGGGAGAGGAAAGGGGAGGGGGAGGGGGAGGAAGAGGAGGAGGAGGAGGTGGAGGAGGAGGAGGAGGAGAGGAGGAGGAGGAGGACGAGGGCGAGGAGGAGGAGGAGGCTGATGATGATGCTGATGATGACGATGATGATGATGATGCTGCTGGTGACGATGAGGAAGATGAGGAGGAGGTGGACGAGGGGGAGACGAGGGAGTGAAGAGCGGGAATGGGGGGAATGTGGAGAAGGATGAGTGGAGGAGGAGGGAGCCAACGTGGCCAAATAAATCCCAAGACCAACCAACAAGACGCCAAGAGAGGCCTCGCACCGTCAATCACACTGGAAGTCAGTAACATTTCAATGCGTTGTTTTGCAACACTGTACGGCGCAGGAGGGATCCAATTGCAAAACTGCTTTTGGGCCCCAATGAAGCCAGAAGAAACCTTCCCGTCCAAGATCAGCGGTGGTTTGATCCCAGGGTCCAGAGAGACAGCCAGAGAGACACGCCATAGGCAAACAACAACACCACCACAGCAACAAACCATGGACCGATGCTGACAACTCATGAGCTTCTGGAAAGTCTAGGTGTGCCGTTTGTCGTTCTGGCGCTCATGGTCCGAGAGCAGCTTATAGGCCCTCCGATAACCTCCAGCAAGCCCGCCAGCCCTCTGGGGGTACGCGGTTTAGAGAGCTATTTCTTCCAATCTCATTCTTCCTTCTCGGGGAGGTTATCCCCCCTATACCCGCTCCCTAGATCTGGAACCCTCCCAAAGCGAGGGGGTAGAGCGTTCAACACGGCTCAATATCACTCCAAGGAGGGCCCCGCAACGCCCAAGGTGGTTTCCAAGATGGTTCAAGGTATCATATCATGGCTCAACGCAGTCTCCAACACGCCTCCAAGAAGCCTCAAGTGAACCCCAAGACGGCTCCAAGTGGACACGGGGCCTCTAAAGGGCGCCCCCGAGAAGCCCACATCCTTTCAACACCTAAGGAGCAGCATGTTTGTTTTCATTGCCACCTTGTTTTCATTGTCACCTGGTTTTCATTGTCACCTTTTCGCTTCCTATGGGCTTCTGAAGCCTCAAGGTGGCTCCAGTGTGACCCAAGAGAACCCCAAGAGGGGCCTATCGCCTGAAGAGGGCCCCGATATGCGATTTTGGGCCTCCGAAAGAGGAGGAGGAGGAGGATGAGGAGGAGGAGGAGGAGGAGGAGGAGGAGGAGGAGGAGAAGGAGAAGGAGCAGGGGGAGGAGGAGGAGGAGGAGGAAGAAGGAGGAGGAGGAGGAGGAGGAGGAGGAGGAGGAGGAGGAGGAGGAGGAGGAGGAGGAGGAGGAGGAGGAGGAGGAGGAGAAGGAGGAGGAGGAGGAGGAGGAGGAGGAGGAGGAGGAGAGGAGGCGCGGGCCGCCGTCTCTTCAAAACGAGGACGCTAACTAAGCACTCCCTCTTTTTAATCGTTGCCCTCCAAGACGGTCCCAGGATGCCCCCAAGAGAGCCCAACTTTTGCACCAATAGAACCCCGAAGGCCTCCGAAATGGCTCCAACATGGCCCAAATAAGCAACTGCCAAGCAACTCCTGTATGGAGATATCCACAATCGGCTCAAGCTGATCCCGAACTTCCGTTTGACGGTCGCCCCCCTTTTTGTTCCGCTGCTTGCCCCCACGCTTCCCTGACCAAGGCAACTCGCCTGGCGATCGTTTCTGGATGGGCTGTTGAGGATGCGCGAAACGTGAAGAATTTCCGAAGACACCCCAAGAATCTCCAAGACCCTGCGATGACCCGCGAGAGCCTGCGACGACCCCCCAAGGCCTCCGACGACCAGGCCCCGAGAACCTCCGAGAACCGCTGAGAACGCACGAGAGCCTCTGAGACCTTCTGGACATCTCTGAGAGCCTCCAATCGCCTGCAACAGCATCGATGACACAAGGAAGCTGCTGAGATCTGCTGAGAATCTAGAAAGGGATCTTAAGACATCTCAGAGAACTTCCCATAATCTTCGAGAACCTTTAGAAATCATCGAACATCTTTGCGAAGTTCATAGAATGTGAGAGAACTTGCGAGAACTTGCAAAATCACTGGATCCTCCGATCACTGTCGGGATCTGTAGGGCATCCTGGGAACATTTAGACCTCCGAGAAACTCCAAACCTCAGAATACCTCCGATGACCTTCGAACATTTCGTCAGACAACCTCCTCCAAGGTTCGCAACAAACTCCACCCGTTCCACGAGATCGGACCTGTCGAAATTCTTGGGGCCCACTGGCAATGACTACCGCGTCCAGTCCGATCCTCGGTCCTCCTCCATCTTTTCCTCCCCCTCCTCCCCCGTCCTCCTTTCCCCTGCTCGTCCTTCTCCTCCTCCCCCGCTTTGACCGTCTGTCTCCTCCTCCCCCTCCGCTCCTCCTCATGCTGCTTCTCGGCCTCCCCTGAGGTCCTGGCACCACTTTTTTTTCTCAGCAAGCGCTGGTGCTCAACTTTGAGCCCTGGGACCCTCGCACACCGATCCGGCTCGATACACTCCGCAGAAGGATGGGGCTCAAGGCTCTGGCCGTGATTTCTCACGATGATGTATTTTTGTCCGCGATGTCAGAACTCAGGGTCCTCCTCCTCCTCCTCCTCCTCCTCCTCCTCCTCCTCCTCCTCCATGTCTTCCTCCTCGGCTTCCCCCTAGGCACTGCTCGTATTTTCTCATCCTCCTGCACCTCGACTCGCCTCCTCCTCGACCCTCCTCCTCCTCCTCCTCCTCCTCCTACCCCATCCTACCCCATCCTCCTCCGTCCTCGTCTTCCATCCTGTGCTCCCCTCCTCCTCCTCCTCCTCCCCCTCCCCCTCCACCTCTTTCTCTCTCCTCTCCATTCTTTTCCTCTTCCTCCTGCTCCTCCTACTCCTCTCCTTCCCCTCCTCCTCCTCTCCTCCTCCTCCTTCGTGCTCCTCCTGCTTACTTATCCTCCTCGACCCTGCTCATTCTCCTCTCCCTCCTTCTCCTTCTCCTTCTCGCCCCTCCTCTTCCTCGGCCTCCTCCTCATCCTCGTTTCGCCTCCTACCTCCTGCCTTTCGACCCGTTTCCTCCTCCTCTTCCTCCTCCTACCCCTTTTCATCCCCTCATTGTCCTCTCCCGCCGCATCCATCCCCCTCATCCCCGGTCCCTCCTCCTGATGGATCCTCCACCTCCTCGCTCCTCCTCCGCCCAGCCCTCATGCAGCCCACCCTCCCTTCTCTTGGCGGCGAGCGCGGGGGGAGGCGAGAAGGGGTGGGCCTTCTCAGAAGGCTCGGAAGTCCCCCGGCCTTCTGGGACGTTGTCTGAGCCCTCCCCCGAAGACACACGCAACAAGAACTTCTGAGAAGGCGCGAGAGGGCTTCTGAGAAGTCTCGCCGCCTTCGGCCTTCTCCTTCTCGCTTCCCCCCCTCGCTCGCCGCCGTCTCTCCCTCAGTCGTCATTCTCCCCGCCGCTCGGGCGCGTGGCGCGCCTCCAGCTCCTTCTTGATCTCCCGGACGCGCATGGCCTGCACCTGTCGGGCGGGCGGGGTGGGGGACGGGCGCGAGGGGCCTCCCGACGCGCGAAGTCCGAGCCTCTCTTCCTTTCCTTCCCTCTCTCTCTCTCTCCCTCTCTCTCTCTCTCTCTCTCTTTTTTTCGCTCTCTCTCTCTCTCTCTCTCTCTCTCTCGATTCCCCAAAAATGCTTGCAGTCAAGGGGTTACTACTTCTTCCCCGAACGATTCGGCGGCGAGCGAGGGGGGGTAGTGAGAAGGAGAAGACCCTCTCAGAAGGCGGCGGGACTTCTCAGACGCCCCCTGGCCTTCCGAGACACTTTCCGTGCCTTCGGGTGAGGCCTAGAACACTTCTCGAAAGGCCGGGGGGCTTCCGAGCCGTCTCAGAAGGCACGCCCCTCCTCACCTCCCCCCCGGGGCTCACCGCCGACTCTCTCTCTCTCTCTCTCTCTCTTTCTCTCTCCGTGTTTTTTTTTTTTTTTTTTTTTTTTTTTTTTTTTTTTTTTTTTTTTTTTTTTTTTTTTTTTTTGTATATAAAAAATTATATTATAAAAAATATTATTAGTTGTTGTATTCTTTTTTGTTATTGTATATATACACAATCTCTCTCGTTTTTTTTGTTTTTTTTGTTTTCTCTCTCTCTCTCTCTCTATCTCGACTCCCCAAACAGTGCTTGCAGTTCAGGCGTTGCGACTTCTCCCCCCAGCAGTGCTTGCATTTCGGGGCTCCTACGTGTGCCACGTTGCCGCCCGTGGCCGCCTCGTGCGCTGGGGGGGTCCTGCGAAGCTTCGCTTCGCTGCCGCTGTGCCACTGAGGAATTGGATGGGTGGGCTCGGCGACGTCTCGCTACGCTGCCGCCCGCGGCCGCCCCGTGCGCGGGGTGGGTCCTGCTGCGAAGCTCCGCTTCGCTGCCGCCCCGTGGCCGCCTCGTGCGCCTTTGGTGGGTCTGGCGAAGTCTCGCCACGTCACCGCCCGTGGCCGCCTCCGCGGCGCCCCGTGCGTGCACCATGCAGCTCGCACCGTTTTTTTTTTTTTTTTTTTTTTTTTTTTTTTTTTTTTTTTTTTTTTTTTTTTTTTTTTTTTTTTTTTTTTTTTTTCTCACACACACACATATATATATTAGTATTTCTTTGATACTTTTTCAAAAGAAGAATACAGTCAACCCGTATCGTAAGGACGCGCGATATGGATACAAGGGCTTTGGAAATCCATGTCGAAGCTTTGCGAACGGGGCGCGGCCTGCGAATGTGGACAAGGCTGTGCCGAAGGGGCACGGGTGCAATGGTACCCTTGGGATGGATGCCCATCCTTACTAGGTTCTACCACCCTCCCGAACTTGGACTAAACCACTACCCTGGGGTATTGCCAACAAGTTGTGATTGTACCCCATGCGTCATCTTACATGGAGCATCATATCATCCCAGCCAGGCCAATTATCATCCCCCTCAGACATGTTAAAATAATACTACGCGCGCGCACTCGCTTACGTATCTCAAGAGAGAATTTCCAACACTCCCTGGCAACAGCACGCACAATACCCACACGCGCAGGCACACGTCGAATTCATATCTGACGCCGTGAATACGCAACCAAACAAAAACAAACGCTACATTTTGTCATTGCATATCTTGCAGGTTCTCAGACTGCACGAACTTGCTGACATGACATGGAACAAAACAAATGTGTAGGACTCTCGTCTGGAATTCGCATTCTCACCTCACCACTCGGTGCAACCACTTTGATCCAACATGCGCCCAAAACGCGAATCCGTGTCAAAAGACGCCATGCGGGCCACACGCGCGCGCGCGCGCCACGCGCGCGTATTGAAATCGTTCCAAAGCCATCATTTTTCGAGCCGTTTCAAAATAGATCTGTTCAAACACACATATGAATAACCATCTGTTTTCCAACAGCAAGTTGCCAAAATTGTTCTTCGCGCGCGGACGTCCTCACCATTACATTCATCAGCGCCATCAGATCCCCACCGTGATCGTCATCGTCACGCGCCGCCATTGCCACCGTCATCAGCCGACCACTTTTCGTCGCTGACACACGGACATCATCATCGTCATCGTCGTCACGAACATCGGCGCCGTCATTAGCTTTGCCGTCGTCATCGTCATCATCGCTACCGCCATCTCCTGCTATCATCGTTGCTACCGTTGTCGACACGTCGCCGACCCGCCCTTACGTGCCCCCTCGCCAGCGCGGCCTTTGAGACGTGATGTAAACTGTCCATCGGCAAGCGCCATCGCGGCCGCATCCGTTGTGTAATCAGCTGGCTGCTCTGCACGCGAGCTTGCGCGCGCTAGCGCAGCCGCAGAAAAAAGAAACGACTAACGCCAAGCAATAATCGCAATCGTGGTTGAATGGGATTTGTCAAACAAGTTGCGGGTGGGTGGGTGGGACGTTTGCCCAAGCAGTGGAATTGACAACTCATTAGCGGCAAAATCCATTGCGCCACGAATGCTGCGCTACATAGCTCACGCCCCGTAGATCACACCAGATCGCTTGCACCACATGGCTTGCACCACAGATGCTGCACTACATGGATTGCGCCGCAGTGCTTGCACCACTCAGGTCGCACCACGTAGATCCCACCTCAGAGAGCACACTACGTAGCTTACACATCCCACAGTGCAACATCCCTCTGCTTGGCATCCCCGGTGGCAGGCATGCCGCTCAAAAAATGGATGGGTCCTGGCGGGGCGCCCGAGAGAGGCGACGGCGACGCTGGCGCTCGGGCAGCGGGCCGACGACGGCGCCGGGCGCGCCGGCTCCCCGGAGTCGGGCGGCACGGGCGCGGCGGGCCCGGTGGGCGCGTGCTCCAGCGAGGAGCTCCTCCTCCTCCTCCTCCTCCTCCTCCTCCTCCTCCTCCTCCTCCTCTCCTCCTCCTCCCCCTCCTCCCTCCTCTCCTCCTCCTCCTCCCTCCTCCTCCTCCTCCTCCTCCTCCTCCTCACTCCTCCTCCTCCTCCTCCTCCTCCTCCTCCTCCTCCTCCTCCTCCTCCTCCCCCTCCTCCTCCTCCTCCTCCTCCTCCTCCTCCTCCTCCTCCTCCTCCTCCTCCTCCTCCTCCTCCTCCTCCTCCTCCTCCTCCTCCTCCTCCTCCTCCTCCTCCTCCTCCTCCTCCTCCTCCCTCCTCCTCCTCCTCCTCCCCCTCGTGGCCGCCCGTGGCCGCCTCGTGCAGCGGGTGGGTCCGGCGAGGCCTCGCCGCGTCGCCGCCCGTGGCCGCCTCGTGCGCTGGGCGGGTCCGGCGAGGTTTCGCCCCGCGGCCGCCCGTGGCCGCCTCGTGCGCCGGGTGGGTCTCGCGGCTGCTCGCCACGTTGCCACCCGTGGCCGCCTCGTGCGTGCACGACATAACTCACACTGCATACATTCCACGACGCAGCCTGTGTTCTACATAGCTCACACCGCATGCATCGCACAACGCTGCTCGCTTCTCACACACACGTCGATGACACGACATATGTTGCAGTACGTAGCTCACACTCAATCGATCGCACTACCTATATTGCACTACATCGCCGTTGGGCGTCCACGTCGGCAACCACACACGTACACACATATGTATACTCCTTCTCGAATGCTCTTATGAGGACCCCCCTCCGTACATACCCCCCCGTACATAAATTCGGCCCTTGGCGCTCCCACCAAGTCTCGGTTTCGGGAGCCCTCTGGGCCATCCTATGCCGCCCGAGCGGGCCCAAGATCGCTTCCCGGACGGTCCCGCGGAGCCCCGAAACGGTCCAAAGGCGCTCCCGAACGGCCCATAAGCGCTCAAACAGGGCCTAAGGTGACTTCAAGATGGCTCAATAGGCTCCCAGGACGTCTCAGGAGGACCCCAAGGGGACCCCCCAAGCGCACCAATCGTCCCATCCATTAGGAAAAACGTGCATTTTCAACATATTCGCTTCTTTGGTCTCCACGGCGTCCAAGACGGCTCAATAGACCCCACAGATCGCCCCAGGACGGCCCAAACATTTTCCAGAAGGGACCCAAGACGACCCAAAGGCCTCAGAGGGTCCCAGAAGGACCCAAAAGGATCCCAAGAGAGCCCCAAGAAGGCCACAGGAGGCCCCCAAGAGGGTCCCAAGAAAACTTCAAGACGGACGACTTCCCCCAAGACGGTTCAAGAGGGTCCCGAGACGGTCCAGGAAGGCCGCCAGACGGCCCCCAAAAGGCCCAAAAGGATCCCCACGCAGGCCTTCAGAGGCCACATTCGCTAATTTTCGCGAGGTTGCGTGGTAGATGTTTTCAATCACGTGCCAGAGTCTAAACACCAAGACGCTCCCAAAGCCTGAGCTCGCGATCTTGCGCCCTCACTCAGTACGAGCAGCGCAACTGGCTTTCAAGGAGGCCCCGAGACGGCCCAAAAAGGCCACGAAACTGCCCACGAAGCCCCGCAAGACGAGTTCAGATGACGCTATGAGCCGTTCGAACCCAATGAAACCTATGAGGCTTACGATCCCTATGCGCCCTCCAAGAGGCCCCCGAGACGCCTCTCCGCAAAGCCCTCTGAGGCCCATAGCTCTACGGGCCCATGAGCCTAATGAGCTCCTGAGTCCTCCGACACCTACGAGCCCGACGACCGGACGTGCCCTTCGAGCCTTGCGAACCCTACGACCCCTGTCAGCGCTAAGAGCCCTCAGAGCCCCATCAACCTCATCTGCCCTACGACCCCTACGAGCCCTCTGCAACACGTACGCTCACGAGCCCAATGTGCTGTACGACCCTATGCTCTTGACGACCCCATACGCCTTCTAACCCCTGCGAGCCACATCATCCTTATCAGTTCATGAGCACATGCGACCCTTCCAAACCCCACCACCCCTACGACCCCTTATGGGCCTCATTAGCCCTCCAAGACCCCCCGAGACACCTCTGCCACGAGCTATACGAGCCTTTCGATCCCTGCGAGCCCATGGGCCATTTGAGTTCCTCAGCCTTGCGAGACCTACGAACCCTATGATAACCTGTTTCTCTCTCCCCCCTCTCTCTCTCTTTCTCCCCTCCGCCTGCTCTGCTT